CCCCAAAACCCCAAAACCCCAAAACCCCAAAACCCCTCAACTCTTATAATACTTGAAACATTATAGTCTAAAATCATTACCTAAAGACCCAGTCATTTCGGTCTTCCTCCAAGCATGACTCCATCTTCTGACTCCAGATTTTGTAACATGAGGTCTTCTTCCACAAGAAATAGAAGTTGGTGATCTCTCTTGGGGACTTTGTCTTGATAAATTTAGCAAACAGATCGAAGTTGGTGCCGAATTTTCATATTCAGGTCTCAAATATGGCAATCTCAAGCGGAGACCATGTCTCAAAGCCCAAGGGAACTCTCAGAGGGTTGCACAGCATGTCCAGAGTCGAGTAATGGAAGTCAGTAGACACCAAAGAAGAACCCTGCTGTGTGTTCTTGGGCCCACCTTCGGCTGGATGGATGGCCTTGCTGGTCAGAAGCTCATTGCCAGAGCTTGACATTCTTGAGGCGACTTCGTTAAGCGTCTCATGAGGCTCAGGCGCGCCTCGCCCGAAGTACATAGAGTTCACAAACCCTAAATATCTTTCGAAAGAGCACAAGGTTCTGTCAGCAACATCCTTTGGCTCTAAAGAAACAATTTGATTCTCAAAGTACTCATTACTGAGTGGGGCTTCGTCAGTAAATGCTATGTTTCTACCTGAGTGTTTAGCAGAGGAGACTTCTTTGCTTGTCCTCACTTCGGAGTTGTCTTTCCTGAGAGTTGTGGATCCTCCACTTCTTTGTGAGTGGCACTCTTTGTCGTCAGAGCTTAGGTCGACCTGTACTCTGTGAAGAGAATTCTATACAAATGTGTGAACACCGCTTCTGAACAACAACAGAATTGCTGAGCAAGCTTGAGCAAGCATGAGCGACTACTTACCTGCGTTTTAAGTTTGGAGGGAACCTTCGGAGTCTTCTGCCTTGGCTGCTTGGTTTTGTCGGTCGAGGGTCCACTCATACCACCCTCAACGTCGAAGATTGTCGGACATAGCTTATCTTTCTTCTCTGCTTGCAATTTAATAAAGCGGGCTCTCTTTATGCCTTCCTTGAGGTCTTCGTGCTTGAGAGGGTCATTGACTTTGCTAGCAAGCGAGATTTCCTTTTGGCGCTGAGCCTTGTACTTCTCAAAGTAGCTCGTAAGCTTATAATTGTTAAGATTATTAATTTCAGGTGTTGGATTTGAAATAAATCGCTTGAGCTCGCTCATCATGGGGTTATCCTTTTGGTCTGGGACTTTGTCACTAATTTTATTTTCGGAAGAGGAGCAATTATGCTTGTTCTGATCAACTTTAGGCAGCTCTCTGTGAAGCTCAGAAGTCTTCTGTGGTTTGGGGTCATTTGACATGCCTAAATCGGCCAGATCCTTTGCTTTAATCTCTGTCTTGGGATAAGACTTCCTTTTATTGAGAAGAGCAGAATGTGCTTTTTTGATGCACTGTTCTGCCTTACTCTCACTCAAAATTGGGGAATACAATGTGTTTGATTCTTCGGTATTTTGCATGATAATTAATCAATTATTACAACTGTGTAGGGGTTTTGGGGTTTTGGGGTTTTGGGGTTTTGGGGTTTTGGGGTTTTGGGG